TACCTGCTGATGCCGGTGTGACTATGCCTATTGTGCTGCCAGCAGTACAAATCACATAAACACAGAGAATACACAATATTTGATGCTGATCATAAACAATTATATTACTGGATTACATATTTACTATACTATTATTGCTAGGGTGTATTCCTACTTCTTTATTTTTTTAAGACATTTATTTATTGGAGAGAGCTATAAAGAGAGACAGATCTTCCATCTGTAGGTTCATTCCCCAGATGACCGCAATATCCAGGTCCAGGCCTGGATTAAGCCAAAGGCAGGAGCCAGGAGCTTCCTCCAGGTTTTCCACATGGATGGCAGGGGCTACATCCTTTGACCACACTTTGCTACTTTTCCCAGATCATCAGCAAAGATTTAGATTGGAAGTTGAGCATGCTGGTATCACAGGCAGCAGCTTTATCCACTACTCCACAATGCCAGCCCCGTTCTTACCTCTCAAAAACAAACTGAAAAGCCGGCTGACCATAAGGCAGTGTGCTGTGTTATCTTGGCAGTAGACTCCTGTAGCTTGTGCCCAACCTCCTTCTCCTATCGACTCTTCCCTAAAGACAAAGAGAGAGAGAGAGAGAGATCTCCTATCTGTTGGCTCACTCCAAATTAGGACCTCAATCCAGGTTTCCAGCATGTAACAGGAATCCATCTGCTTGTGCCATCACCTGCTGCCTCCCAGGGCATGCATCAGTAGAAAGCAGACATGAGCAATAGAGCTAGGATTGAAACCTAAGTCCTCTCATATGGGACTTAGACACCCTAAGCAGTGTCAACCATTTGACCAAAAGTTTGCCCCTCTGTGTTTCAAGAGTACATTATTTTCTTTTGTGCCTGATACAATTGCATGTTGTCTCCTTCACCACAGGCTACAGTATACACATCTTGCCTACCATACAGCATACCTATACAGTACGCTGTAGCATTTAGGCTTGCTTAAGTGCATGCTACAATATCTGTACAATGACAAAACCACCAGCTGATAATTTCTCAGAACATATCTTCATAACTGAGCAATTCATGCTTGTGCTAGGGAAACCGTCTCCCTCTGAAGATATTCCCTGCCTTCCCCTCTCATCCCTCCTGCTCCAAGCTCCAGAACAGGGCCTATGTCTTTTCCTCATGGATACTCTCAGTCCTAGAACCTTCAGACTTGTGGACTTCACCAAGTTCTCCTCAAGTTTCCCTTCCCTCCTGGATCTTTTTTTCCAACTGCTCCAACCCAGTATACCCCTCTCTGCTCCAGACAGTCCAATAGTTAAAAACCACCTTGTTTTGTTCTGAAACTTAGGTCTACTCTCTCCTTGGAGATCTCTTTTCTGCCATAGCAGTGTTGTCCCTTCTTCAAAAGAAAGAACATACATTGAATGAAGAACAATAGTTTGAAGCTATCAGTGTATGCATTCTGTTTTTCTCTAAATGCCAGTTGAAACTGCATGGGTCATGTGGCTTTAAAAGCAGCTCCTTATTTGGGAATTGGTTTATAAACAGCATGGTTGAAAATACATCCTAGCACAGGACTTTGTCTACAGCTGGTGATGAAGAATTGAGTAGAGCCGGGGCCCAAAAAGACCAATTTAGTCAACGTGCTTCGACAACTGTCAGCAGATGCCAAGGGAAGATGTCATACTTAGAATGGTTAGCTGGCTAGGGACTGGTTCTATTATAAGGCTTTGTGTCCTTGCAAAGGAAATGTTTGAATGCACTGACACTTAAATGAGTTCTTGAGGTCTGGGCATGCAAAACAAAAAGAAAAAAAAAATGTAGAAAGCAAGTCTTCCAAGTAGGCTAAAGATTTTTAGCAACAGAAAATAAAACTTTGGTCTTGAAAAAGGTAAGCCAAAGAAATAATAGATTTCTGTGTTATGCTTGATGTGCAAAGCAAGGTCTATTAGTGTAACTTGTTTATACACTTCTTCATATACTCATCATTGAATGCCTAATATATTGTGAGCATTGTTACAGGTACTGGAGAGAAAAAATTAATATCACCCACAAGGATGTCCAACTGTGAAAAAAAAAAAAAAACACTTGTCTTTAAATATGTCAAACTCTTGAATAGGGATTTGCACCTAAGTTGGGCCTGTGGTTGTGACTGAGTAAACTGAGTAATACATGGTAAATTTCTAAGTAGGTAGAGGAGCTGTGTGGAGTACACTGCTTGAGGATTACAAGAAGGAGGGTTGTTGTTCTTGGTTGAAAACCATCAACACGCTACAAATAAGATAGCCGTGGGTTCCAAACACAGCCTAGAGAATTTGTAATCGCCACAGGACAGCAACGAGCTAGATGCCAACCATCCAATGCAGTTGAATATAGGCCAGAAGCTATCCTTATCAGAAGAGATGAAAAACTGACAGTGGTCCACAAGGCTAGAAATGAAAAGCAGGGAACTCTGGATCTGAACACCACAAACAGCCAAGCTCACTTGTCATCAAAGAGCAGGAAGAAGCCCCAGTCTTGGAAAAGGTACAGTCCTATCTTTGTGAGCCTGCCATGTACCAGGTACCTGGCTAATCATGTCAGATAAAATATCTCATGTAAGTCCCACCTCATCCCCAACGATGAGAGGGCCATTCACAGATGGGAGAGCTGGAGCCCAGAAACAGCTCTGGAGGAGTGACTGCAGTCCTCGAAGCCTGGCTCACAAGTTACAGGCAGTGAGTCTCTTAACTTCCTGCCTGGGAATGTGACTCCAACAACATAAGAACCAGCAAGAAATCTGAGAGTGGAGCCACGTGGATACGCTGGCTGCAAGAACGGGAGCACAGACAAAGGGGGATCCTAAAGGAAAGATTCAGAAAGCTTCCACAAAGTGGTCAAATTAGGCTTAGCGCGATTGTGGCTTTTTAGATTTTGTTCATTTTGCCAAACTTCAGGGTGGCAGCGACAACAGGCTTGGGAACCTCAGCAGCTTGCACTCTGATCGCAACACTTCCAAGAGCTAAGGGTATTTCAGAGGATGAACCAAGAGCTATAACTTTTTTCAGGGGAAAAAAAAAAAAATAAAGCCCAAAGAATGGAGAGTCCTAGACTATGAAATAAAACCAACTCATCTGCTTCAGAGAAATCATTTTTTTAAAGATCTGTTTGTTTTTATTGGAAAGTCAGATTTATAGAAAGTAAGATCTTCCATCTACTGATTCACATGGCCGGAGCTGCGCTGATTCAAAGCCAGGAGCCTCTTTCAGGTCTCCCATGTAGGTGCAGAGTTCCCAAGGCTTTGGGCCATCCTCCACGCTTTCCCAGGCCACAAGCAGGGAGCTGGAAGGGAAGTGGAGTAGCCGGGATACAAACCGGCACCCATATGGAATCCTGGCATGTGCAAGAAACGGACTTTAGTCACTAGGCTACCACACAGGGCCTAGAGAAATCATTTCTTATCAGCAAGCAGCACGCAGCACCGAGCTCTTGTTCTAAGCCTGCAACAGGAAAACATCCAGTTCCTGAAGACAGACTCGGGGAGGGTGCTGCATGTAATGCCAGCTTATACTCCCGGGTGGACTAGCACTGCAAACAAAGACAGAACGGAATTTAAATTCAAGATTCTTTTTGTTCGTTTGTTTGCTTAAATGTTTATGTATCTTTATTGGAAAGGCAGATCAGATACACAGAGAGAAGGAGACACATAAAGAAAGATATTCCATCCACTGGTTCAGTCCCCCAAATGACCCCAATTCCCAGAGCTAAGCCAGGAGCCAGGACCTTCCTCCAGGTATCTGACATGGGTGCAGGGTCCCAAGGATTTGGGCCACAAATAGGGAAGTGGATAGGAAGTGGAGCAGCCAGAACTTGAATCAATGCCTTTGTGGGGTCACTGTCAGCAGCTTCACCAGCTATGCCACAATTGCCCCAAATTCAACATTCAGCATATAACGACGCGCTGAAATCAAGAGAGTGGCTTTGTCTGGGAGTCGCTAAGAGAACTAGCAGGCTGGGATAGGATATGATTAATCAGAAATGAAAGAACAGTCGTCTCTGAACATTGGAAGAACTGCCCGAGACGGGCAATGAACTGTCTTTAGCAGGTTTGCCAGTGTTGAAGAAAATGTCTGCAGATGGATGGCGATGGGGTCGCACTAGCCCCTGAAGTATACGTAATGCCACTAACGGCTAAACATGGTTAGAACCGTAGCGTCATGTATGTTTTACTGTAACTGAAGCACTTTGAAAAGTTGGCTTCATTTCTGAACACAGGCAGAACAGACACAAACACACACTCTTATTTATAAAGAATACCTTACTAGAGGCTAGCGGGACCAAGGCATATTATTCAAGACTTGCTTTACAAACCATCACCTATGGTTTACATCGCTTTCAGATCCATAGGACATAAATGTCATTGTGTTAAGCAATTCTTGACAGGCTTGTGTACTTGCCAGAAAATCCAGCGTTGTAGAAAATGCACAATTTTTGTCCGTCATACCCAGTTACCTCAGGGGTGGGGTTCTGCTCTGAACGACGCTCGGACAGGCACATTAATTGGGTAAATCAGCGTGGTCAGAGGTTGCGGATCTCACCAGCACTCAGCGGCTCTTCTAGAAGGGCAGCGCCCCCAGCCGTCTCCCCCTTCTAGAAGGGCAGCGCCCCGAGCCGTCTCCCCCTTCTAGAAGGGCAGCGCCCCGGAACCATCCCCCTTCTAGAAGGGCAGCGCCCCGGAACCATCCCCCCTTCTAGAAGGGCAGCGCCCCGAGCCGTCCCCCCTTCTAGAAGGGCAGCGCCCCGAGCCGTCCCCCCTTCTAGAAGGGCAGCGCCCCGAGCCGTCCCCCCTTCTAGAAGGGCAGCGCCCCGAGCCGTCCCCCCTTCTAGAAGGGCAGCGCCCCGAGCCGTTTCCACGCGTCCCGCGAGCCCGTCCTCCCGGAGCCGCGCCTCCTCCCGCCGCGCGTCGTCGCCCCGGCGGCCACACCCGAGGCAGGTGCCGCCCCGAAGCGCCAGCGCAGCCTGCCCGGCTCTCGCGAGAGTTCCGCGGGACCGGCGGCGCTTCCGCAAAGATGGCGGCGGCGGCGGCTCGGGGCGCTCGCCTGGCGGCTTGGGGCGCTCGGCTGCGGCGCGGGCTGGCCGCTCGGGGGGCCGGCCGGTTGGCGGCGGCCGTGGCCGGGGTGGCCCTGGCCGGAGCGGGAGCGGCCTGGCAGCATGGCCGCGTGAATGTCGCGGCGCGCGAGGGCAGCGTCCCGGCGCTGGCACAGGTACGGGGCCGTGGCGGGCTGGTCCCGCAGCAGGTGCTGGTGGGCGTGGGCGGCTCAGCTGGCCTCTGCCCACCCCAGCCGGGGCGGTGACCGTGTCTCCAAGGGGTATGCGTGCAGTGTGTCTTCACAAACGAGAGTTTCACGACCTTGCGGAGCGTGGTGAAGTCCAAACAGATGACTTGTTTGTGTCACAGCAATGTCAAGCATAGAAAGGGGTCGATTGCTGTTTCCCAACTTGGTTGTCAGCTCTAAAGAACATCCTTTCGCGATGATAAACCGAAAATAAGCAAAAGCCGTTTCTCCTGAAATCGGCATCCTTGAAAGGTTCAGCTTGCTGTCTGAGGATATTAGAAAGCAGATGGACAGTTTAAGAAGAATGCTAGTTTGTATGATAGGCATTTTAACACATGTTTATACTCGGGTGTTTTTGAAAATGGCAAGGAATGCTTTATTTTCTGTGTTAGACTGACATCGTTCGTTTCCAGGGACAGATAGATAAACAGAAGGGAGGAAAGCAGGTGTCATGCATTGGAAATCGTGTTAGGAAGTGATCCGTGTTATCTGTGTTAAAACACTAGCGAGATAGTACGTGCAGTAGCTCTCCCATCCTGCCTCCGCGTCTCGTCACAGGTGAAGTGTTTTCATAGCATTTTTTGTTCATCTTGATTCAAAGAATTCAATGGATTCTTCTCCAGTGGACTGTTGTTAAGGCCTCTCCCCCCCCCCCCACCCCCGTAATCCATCTCGTGTGGGGCCCTTAGCTCCTCTTGCCGCAGCATCGCTGCCCACGCAGTGCTGCCTGCCTCAGCATCCCTTAGTGCCGCATTCTGCCTGCGATCAAATCCGCACTGTAAGCTTCGTGCAAGCCTTCAACAGCCAGACACCTTGCAGCCAGCGCGACTCACTCACTGTCCCCAGAACGTGACTCAGACCCTCCCTCCTCAGCAGTCTGTAGTTTCTGATCTTGTCCCGTCCCTCTTCTGGTCTTCCTGGCTCACTCCTGGCCTGCTGAGGCTCCAGCGTTGTCTCGGCAGTGGGAGCTGTTGGCCGTCTCCCCAGCTCTCAGCCGCAGACACAGAGCTTGGTGGAACAGGAATGACTTTATTATCAGTTCTCTTCTGCAACTTGCTGACAGCGCGTTTGCCTGGCTTGCTGCGGGCTCGTTTACCCTGTGTGTCTCGCCTTTCTGCTGCCGCAGTGGGCACCGCCTGTCCGCGCTGGAGGCGAGTTCAGGAGGATTCCCCCCTCCACTGTGATTCTGGTACTTTCTCTTCAGGGAAGCTGTTGGTTCTTCTTCACCGCTGTGTAGCAGGTCTGTGTGTGTGGTTGAGAGTTTCTGAGATAGGTTCTTGAATTTTGCTGTGTGATTCATTTTTATGTCTTGATGCATTTCATCCCTTATGCATTGCATAGTTATTGTATTTGGTAATATAATGTGACAAAAGCTTCCTGATAATAATATCCTTCACTTTCACTCATCCTACCAACTAGTCCTACTAATATTAATCTGCTGTTAAGAGCATAATTAATCTACTGTTAACCAGACCACACTGGTTTGGCTCCCGTTGTGATCAGCAGCCTGGAGTTGTGAGGGAAACAAAAGCAGAACTCCTGGTCATGACAGCAGATAAATTGGCCTGGTTCTTAGCTCCTTCAATAGCTGCTGAACTATTCCTATGTGCCAGGCAGTGTGTCAGAGGGGATTACAGAGACACAGCTTATCCGCTTACAGTTCCATGGGAGAGGGCAATTTTAGGAGTTGTGGTAAATGCAAATGATGTGGAGCGTACTCGAATCCCACCTAACCCTTCTCTCTGGTCCCTGGCTTGCTGAAGGAATGATACCCAAGCCAGCATCGGAAGGATGAGTGGGGGTTTGCTGGGCAGGAAGGAAGGGCATATGCAGGCGGTAGGCGCAGCTCGCACAGGTCATTTGACTCAGCAGAATGTGAGCTCAAGAGAGGAAATTCAGATTCGGGCGTGAGTGGCTAAGTCACGGTGAGCCACGTGACAAGAATTTTTCTCTGGAGGACAACAGTCTTTGCAGAGGTTCTCAATCCTCATGGATACTCACACATCCGGGCATCGGGTTCAGGGAGTCCGGCTACCTGGACGGAAGATTGCATTTTTGTTTTCACTAATTCATAATGTAATATTTTCTGCCATCGTGAATGCAGATGAGAAATGTGGATGCATTGGCATTGATAGATATCTCAGGTTTTTTCCCATTATCGTATTTTTATAGGTACCTCAAGTATCACTTCAAAATTAGTGTATGTATTAAACTTGTTATATCAGATAACTTAGTGCATAAAGAAGTATGAGTATTATTCTTACAAATTTAGTTTCAACTCTGGAAAGAGAAGTGAAACTGGAGTTAGGTTGGGCCCAGTGCGGTGGCCTAGTGGCTAAAGTCCTCACCTTGAATGCACCAGGATCCCAAATGGGCACTGGTTCTAATCTCAGCAGCCCCACTTCCCATTCAGCTTCCTGCTTGTGGCCTGGGAAAGCAGTCAAGGACAGCCCAAAGCCTTGAGATCCTGCACCCGCGTGGGAGACCCAGAGGAAGTTCCTGACTCCTGGCTTCATATCGGTATAGCTCCAGCCATCATGGTCTCTTGGGGAGTGAACAAACCATTGGACAGAAGATCTTCCTCTCTGTCTCTGTCTCTCCTCCTCTCTGTATATCTGACTGCAGTAAAAATAAATCTTAAAAAAAAAAAAACCTGGAGTTGGGTAACTGCTTCCATAGTTTAGGAGAGAATTAATGGCTGGGTTAGATGACTGCTGAAGAGATTGAAAAGATAAGATTTTTTTAAATGCAATTTATTTTTTATTGGAAAGTCCATTCCACAGAGAGAAGAAGAGACAGGGAGAAAGATCTGTCTACTGGTTGATTCCCGAAGTTATTGCAACAGCTGGAGCAGAGCTGATCTGATGCCAAGAGCCAGTAGTCTCCCCCCGGGTCTCCCAAGTGGGTGCAGGGCCCCAAAGGCCTGGGCCATCCCCGAGTGCTCCCCTAGGCCACAAACAGGGAACTGGATGGGAAGTGGAAGAGCTGGGACAGGAACCTGTGCCCATATGGGATCCCGGCACAAGTAAAGTGAGGACTTTAGCCACCTGGTTATCATGCGGGGCCCAAGATAAGTTTTTAAAGAGTGTAAGTTTCAGACATCCTAAATAAAATATAATTGTATTGTTTAAAAGGTTCAAGATGGTTACAGTTGAGTAGCAAAATGATGCTTTGTACAGAGGACTCCTCTGTGGGACTGGCTGTAGAGCCTGCTGTCACATTACTTACCTCTGTGTGACTGCTTCTTTTAAGACAGGTAAACACATTAGGAAAGTAAGATTTCAGTATTGTTCATGTTGCAATGCTACTGTATTTGATTTAGAATCAGTGAAATCAGAAGTAATAGAGGCGGAAACACGAAAGAGAATGTTGCTTTTTTACTCCATTCTATAAAGAATAGCTGCATTCCTAACAAACCTGAGCATATTAAAAAGCTTAAAAATACTGGAGACGAGCCTGCTGAGTATGCATTTCTACTCCCAGGTAAAAGGAGCACTCCCAATGGAACTATCCGATGGGCCTTAGCATTTTGATGTTAGATTTTCTCCCATTCCCTGTACCTCCCATGCAGGATAAAGTTAAATAGCAGAACGTTAAACTTGTAGCTGTTACTAAAGGACTGTACCACTGTAATAATGTGGAGGGAGGTGTTGGGAGAGGAGGATGAAATGAAGGGGGGGGGAAGGTGGGCAGAATACCTATGCCCGCAAAACCAAATCATGGAAAACAATTACAACAATAAAAATAATAATATGAAAAAATTTTAAATATAATATAAAATTTTTAAATGTTACAAGAGTTATGTCATGCAAGAAATAACATACCAGTAAACCAAAATTGATGAAGAGACTTCTGTATCAGCTAATCTGGTTCCCGAGGTCAGACTGAAAGTCAGTCTAGTGTGATCATTGGGATGATAAGCATTGTAATAGAACGGTCCAGAACTGGGAAAGGAGAGGGGCAGATGGCCCAGCGCAGCAACGTGGACCACACTCGGCAACAGTAGCATGCGATTCCCTCTTACTCATCTCTAGTTATATGACTGTTTCATTTATTCTCAACATTTTTGTAGTTTGGGCCTTATATTTTCTTCCTACATTAAATATAATTTGAGTATTGTAGGTTTCCCTGACTTCAAAATTGTGGGTTTTTTTTTTTTTTTGGTTTGCTATTCAATGGAAAATTTGTCTGCCATAGTTTCAATATTGAAAATATTGGTTTTTTTTTAAGATTTACTTTATTTTTAGTGTAAAGTCACACATACAGAGAGGAGGATCTGTCTCTTGATTCACTCCCCAAATGGCCACAACAACTGGAGCTGAGCCAATCCGAAGACAGGAGCCTGGAGCTTCTTCTGGGTCTCCCATGTGGGCGCAGGGTCCCAAGGCTTTGGGCCATTCTCGGCTGCTTTCCCGGGCCACAAGCAGGGAGCTGGATGGGAAGCAGAGTGGCTGTCAGGATTAGAACTGGTGCGTGCAAGGTAAAGACTTTAGCCACTAGGCTACTGCACCCAGCCCCAAAATAAAAGTATTTTCCATAATCTAGCATGTAATACTGTATTATTTTATCCTAAGTGTAAATTTGTTATTATGAAATTCATTGGTATCCACCTTCCTTTATAGATTTAATCATTTATACTTATAAAGCCTTAAAGTCTTTTCTCTGTTATTGTTTAATTGGGTTTTCTAACACTTAACGTCCTTGGAAATTGGCTGTCTACCTCTCTGTCTTTCCCAACTAGGATGACGTCTTTCCATCTGGATCTCCTCAGGGTTTGGAATAGTCACAGTTCCATCAGTACATGTCCTGGTGCCTCACTCACTGAGTTAATTGGGCTGCATTATGTAGCAGAGTGACTTGATCTGTCTGGTTTGATTGCTGTTGATAGGAACACAAGCAATATCAAATAGCTGTTAGTATCACCTAAG